ATACCTGAGAACTCAAGTCCTTTATTAGCTTCCTCTGATATACTGTTTCTAACCAAAAAGAAAAGAAGTCCAGTTGCCATGACTCAACCTCCAGACAATTTCACCTGGATGACTGAGAATAGTAAACATATTACTATTTTATCCTATAAAAAATAATACTCTTTAAGGTCAGTGAAGTTTACTCAAAATTAAATTGATATACGGTTATAGTTACATAGTTTTTCATTTGACAGTTTTGAATTTATTTATTTACTAGTATTTATGTACCATGCAACTCCCATGGGGGTAGATTCATTGGTGAAATTGGTCTCATAAATAAAATAGAGAAACAGGGAGATGATATGACAAGTTTGCATAGTGTCCTAGTGAGAGTGCAGCTTACTCGCAAGTTCTGTTCATATCTTCTAAGTGGCTCCAATCTCGAGTTATACAATACAATCCACTATTTATTGTATGAAACACTGCTGAGGTGCTTAACAATATTCAACAAAGTAATTCCCTTCTAATTCTTCAGGTAAAGTTTTTCACTCAGGCTGAAATGTGTCTCTGACAAAACTGGGAAAAAAGGGGGAAAGGAATTAAAAGTTTGTATTATTTAGATTGAACAAGTTAAGACATAATTTGAAAATGAGTTGTGAACCAATAATGAATATGTGATTGCAAAAATGTATAAACTTTTGAAATTTGAAACAGAACAGGAACAAGTTAAAGATTGCATGGTAAAATGGAATTTTGGTTGCAATATACAGATAGATCAATGGGAGAAAATGTGGGCAAAGGGACTGAAATTCACACTGTGTTATAATTTAAGAGAGAACTTTTACAAAATGATGTACCATTGGTATATGACACCAGAGAAATTATCTAAGACATATAAAGGTACTTCAATGTTGGAAATGTGAAAAACCTGAAGGGACATTTTACGATGCATGATGGACTTGTGAAAAAGCAAAAAAAAAAAAAAGGAAACAAATACATATGATGATACAGAGAATTTTGAAGACTAATATTGAGATGAAACCAGAACTCTTTTTATTGGGACCTATAGATAGTCAATTAGAAAAGACTTATGGAAGAAACTAAGAAATTCTGGAGCTAAATTATAAGATAACAAGCAAATCTTATCAAAAGGAGATATGGGAAATGATGCAGAGGATGACTTTGACACATGTTAGGGAGGGAACTAATTACCTCTTCATATAGTAGAGCTGGCATAACTTCTGCTGAAAGCAATGTTGTTGTATTTGCCAAATGAGCCCAGTATTTTGTTACACCAACTGTGATGCACACAATGCTAAGGCACATGCATCGACTTATACCTCACTGAGCACTCTGTCAATATTGGAGAGAAACAAACTGATATTTAACCAAACACACACAATAAAAAGAAAATAAATACTCTTCTGGCTTGTACTCTATATTAATTACAGTTCATGTTGGAAAATTTCTGTACACCACAGTAGAATCTTGGCGGTTTTATCTTTGGATGGACAGTCTGATTCAGCTAGGATTCATTAATGTGCTAACCACCTGGGAAAGCTCCTCTGGATGACACTGAGCAGATGAAATGGTGTTGCTGAATAGGAACAAAATCTACGTTACTGCGGTATTTTCACATGGGGCCTGTGGCCGCATACAAGCTGGGTTTTTCATCTTCTGTACTTTGTTGTGATTTCCACTGACTTCTCATGAAGCCTAGCTTTTTAATAAACTAAGACAAGAAGTTAATGGATCAGGACTAATAAATGAAGCTAATCCAGATGAAACAGGGAGGTTAGTAGATCTGTCCAGGTTGTTGCTGCTCAACTTGTTTTGA